AGCTCTGGTATCGGTTCTGAGTTTATGTGAACAACAAATCATTCTTAATTCATAGCACTAAATGTAGTCTTTTGTTGAGTATCATTAACAAAGTCTATTTTTAACATATGGAAAGAAATTTTTGTTAAATTTTTCTTCACCAACATTTCTTAGTACATTTAACTTAAATCTGTAATCATCACCAAAAGGTCAACATAAAAGGATACCATGCACTTTGTTATTCAATTACTAATATAAAAAAATTGTTTAGGCATCGCTGCGTGAGTCATTACTCAAAGTTATCATTTGTTGATAAACATGCAGTGATGAAAGCAGAATATAAAAAATATTGATTCGGCAGGTCAGCGTCGGGGATGTAAAATATTAGTAGATGTTAAATCAATAAAGTTTCTATGTACTAGAATGTTTTGGGCTGAGTTGTATGCCAAGCAGATACACAGCTACTGAGCCAGATTATTGATCACACAAATTTATGCTAAAATGATTGTTTCTTCAATAACGAGGTATTTTTATTTAGTGCCGAAGTGAAATTAAGAATTGGGACTCTCCACATGTTTTATTATGGAGTAAAAAAATCAAATGCGTATGTGTAAAGCATTCAAAAAAGAAAAAGGTTCTTAGTGGTTTTGAGGTCTGAATTTTAGATCATTTCGGATATTGAACATCCAGATCTCAGACATTGTACTGTACTAAAAATATCATTAAAAACTGTGTACATAACTTGTTTGCCTTTTGTATAAAGGGCAATTTAAACATTTTTCTTTGAACTCAAGGAGCAAACATTGTATTGTGTTATTGATTGGTAGGTGAATTCCACAAAAAAAATGGCAATAAAAGTAAAAATATTGCAAAAGATTCTAAACCAGAGATATGCACCTTAATACAAATACAGTCAAAAGTCATTAATTCGGACACCCATAATCCGGAATGATCTATAATCTGGACCTCAAAGCTAGAAACTTTCTGCGCATGCGTCGCGTTTACGTGTGCGCGTAAGACCTTTACGGCTGCGAATATGCGTGTGCACGTGCGCATAAAACGTTTACGCATGCACATTTAATGTATAACGGATGGTATAAGCTAAGCTAAAATTATCTAATTCAGTTAATACTGCAGATTGCGTTGTTCCTTAATCTTCGAATTGGATCCGACTTATTATTTTTTGCAGACTGTTAGAGCAATTTTATAAAAGTAAGCTTGAACTTTCGATTATATCAAATAGAATTTCCGATATATATTTGCTAATATGTAAATGATCTAAAGCAAAAGTATGTTTCGAAATCCGAAATCTGTTTATCAATTTCACGCTGCTCGGCGGGGAACGCCGCCGCGCGCAATGAATTGGAAGTTGATCTGTCAGCACTATCCTTATCATTAAGGCAGATGTTTTTATTTTATTTGGCTTATAATTCCTTACTAAATGTAGTATTTCATCTCGATGTACTCCGTCTTTGATATGATTTAAAACAAGTTCCTCGTCATTATAATTCACTTCTGATAGTGAAGAAAGTGACAGAGGTTATTGAAAACGAAAAAATTTCGATTGACAAATTAGTCGGTATTCTCGACACAGCAATTATAGGACTTGAACAGCGGAACTTTGTAACTAAACAAGAAATTATGTCTGTTTAATAGAATTAAAGAGAAAGTATTATCACATGAAACGAAGGAACTTAAACAACTTACATTGAAAGAAATGTTTAATGAAGTAAACAAATAAATATTAAGCATTTTCTTTTTGTAAATTTTGATACCCTTTAGATCATAATTGTTCTTTATTTCATAAATTACGGTTTCATATTTTTAATTTTGTAATTTCTGCATGCCATCTTACCAGATTTAAACTGATGATCTATAATCCGGAATCGCGGAAGTCCCGACGAGTCCGGATTAATGACTTTTGACTGTATTGGTGATTTTACTACTTTACAAATTTTGTAATTAAATCAGTTTTCTTGCCAATTCTGTGGTGATTAAGAAATTATTTGTAACTTGAGTACCATATATTGGCCACTCAGATGGAGAAAGAAATTATATTTATATTATTCTCCTGATAATATTGCTAAGAACTAGACAATCGAGATGACTTAAAAGCAAAATCAATTTTCAAAGTAACAGAGATTTTATCAGTAATCAGAATGTGATAAGGTTAAATAAGTCAACCAAGCAGAATGGAAATTTGTTTAGATATAACTGGTAAAAGGTTTAGCAGAAAAATAATAATTTTGATAGAAGAGTATAAAGGGCAGGTGTGGTGAATGGCAAGTATTCACAACTGTGTTGATGGCTTGGGTACATTACATTTTAATGAAAGATGTCTTTAAGATATACTCAACGGCATTATGAACAGTTGTCAGACTTTGAGAGGGGTCGCATCTTGGGGCTAAAACAGGTGGATCAGACAATGTATTGGTCAAAGCGATATGGTCGTTGTCCATTGTCGGAACTAGTGGCTGAGCCAAGACATAGTTAGCTGCCGTAGTGGCTTCAGACATTCCGGGCCACCAGTACATGAGATAATTGTGCAATTAGAAGAGCTGCCATGTCTACACCAATAGTTATGCTTTCATTGATTCAGTGCGATGTGCCAACTCTCAAGGATCCAAGGATATGATTCGCCTGGGCACAACTCTCGACGTCCAATAAGCCACCTCCCATCGACTCTCCATCATAAGCCGTATGCTCTCGCTCAACCTGGACATTATCCGATTGGAGAAATATGATCTTCAGCGACAAATCATACTTTTCTCTCAATGCTGGTGACAGCCACATACGTGTCTAGTGATGAAAAATTGAACGGTCCAATGTGCCATTTGTTATCCAGTCACCCACAGCCAGAAGACAGGGTCTGACAATCTTTAAAGCGATCAGCTGGAACAACCATTCACCATTAGTCATACTAAGAGGTACTGTGATTGCTTGCAGGTACGTTGACAACATGTTGCAGCCAATTGTACTGCCTATGCTAGCAGGTGGTCCAGGTTCTGTTTTCCTGGGCCACCTGGGTTGGGTTATAGCACAACTTTCCCAACAGTCTTCAACGTGTTAATGCCCTCATCTGGCTTGCCTGGTGTCCAAACCTGTCACATTGAACATATTTTGGACATGCTGGGCAGGAAAATTCAGTCGTGTACAAAAACATCCCAACTCGCCAATCAGTTGCTCCATTTGTGGTGCAATCTACTACAGATGGACATTGGCACTTAATAGACTGCATGACCAAGCAAGTATTGGCTTGTATAGCTGCCAGAGATGACTTTACCACCTACTGATTTTTGCATTATTTGCATTGCTACAGGTAAATAAAATGCTTTTTTCACCCCAGTTTTTGATTATTTGTTTATCTACTCGAACACTGTACTACTGCCGAGTTTTGTAGTTGTGGCTCAATTCTTTCTGGATACATATTTTTTTTTTTTTTCAACAGAGTGTATTTTTACAGGAAACAGTAAATTGTTTAAGTGTATTCTCATGTAGGAATAAATAGGCCTCGAAGAACTTGTCTAAATTTAGTTAATGAAAATTAATTGGTAAATCAATTTGTTGCAGAACTCTTGCATCTGTACTGTTGCTAGTACTTACAGTTTCTTATTAAACTCATATTAGGTATTTCATATTGCCTGACTTAAATCCTGCATTTGCAAAATTAAAAAATAATTATAGCTATTTGAAAGTTTTTAGAAATTAAAATATGAGCCAAATATATTGCTAGCTTTTAGAATATAATTAGGATTTTAGGATTTTAGGAATTCTTATCTGAATTTTAATTCAGCATGAATTTCTTTGTTCATTATTCTTGCTCAAGTTAATGCAGAAATTTAAGTGCAATAAATTAATAATGTTATTAAGGTATTTTCTCCCTCCTTTTTGCATGCCTTCATGGTTTAATTGGAAGCATACTCCGACGCATTAGAAATCCCAGTGTAGGCACTGCATATTTTTCATGCTTGCTTCTAAATAGCCAGATGACTCTACAAGTGGCTCCAAAACTAAGAAGTGGTGAAGAATAATTCGTCACTACGAGGATTTGGTGATTGGGTTCCCTCCTCAATTGCCCTTTAAAAGGAGGAGTATATAAAATATTTTCTCCCTCCTTTCTGCATGCTGGTATGGTGTATTTGGAAGCATACTCGATGCTTATTCGAGAGGTCCATGGTTCGTGTCCTGGTGAGGGCAATGTACATTTTTCACCTCGCCTGCTTCAAAGAAACCAATGAATCTGCAATGTATAATCATAAATTTTGCATAAACATTTTCAGTAATAAGGAAAAGGCTTAAGTAATTAAAATATGCAATATTTAAATAAGTTATTGAAATTAGTCTAGATGATCTAGAGATTCTATAAATTTCACTATTGCATATACAGTTACGAAGTTCTTTCTCTTCTGTAAAGTTATTCTAGCATGATATGAATATTAAAATTGCTATTAATTACAATTACAGTTGCAATTTTTTTAATTACAGTTACAATGCATCATTTTTAAACTTTAATTACCTCTTCATGTTTAGCATTCTTAAATGCCACTTCAGTAGCTAACTTTTATAGCCTCTTTAAGTTAAGTGAAATTTTGAATTTTGCTTGATTATCAAATTTTTCATGAAATCTTATTTTAGATAGATGACCTGTGATAAAAGACAAGGGTTTGAATCAACAACACACTGCAACTTATTAAATCCAAAGTCACTTTTCATACTTTACATCCTTTTTATTGTGTGTTTTATGTTAAAATAATGAGCATGCCCTATATTTTTTTCCCACTAGTTTATGTCATGATCTGAACAAATATCATCAAAACACTCAGTGAAGCATTTAGTTATTAAAGTTAACATAAATTTTAAAATAAAAATTAAAACCCATATTCAGTAATTATAATCCATTTATTATTGTCTGATGAGTTGTATTATGCCATTCATTCAAAAATTAATGTGTTGATGTATGTTTAAAATTTATTGATTTGAGTTGCAGAAAATATTTTCTAAATGTATTTAATGTTATTTAGGTGCTGTGATATATCTATTATATAGAAAATACAATGGGAAGTGTACTAGTGTAGTTGAAAGCAAGTTCAACTCTGACAACTGTGGGTATTTAGATGATAGCCTGCGTAGCAGTATATATTTAAATAATCATATTGAACTTCCAAAGGTAAATTGATATTTTTCTTTGCTTTATATCTACTTCGTGTTATTTACATATATATGTGTGTGTGTGTTCTCTTTTACATGTTTTATCATTAGCAACACACTAAAACCGCATACCTGTTTCCCCCCCCCCAAAAAATCATTTTTCAAATTTCATAAAGTAGAGAAATGCATGTTCTCTAAGATTCAAATAATTGAATCATATTGTTGTTGCTTATCCTAAGTACCTATACCAGCTACATGGTATTATGAATAACCATTGGTGAGTGCATTTGTACAAGCATTGATTATTTACATCTTTTGTTAGACAGTAATTTTTTGCTCATTCATACTTTGCCAGAAGTTCCTCAAGAATTATTATTTAATGCTATTATTTTCCTGGGACAGACTTTCAAAGTGACTTTATTTTAACTTGTGAATCTCATAACATCTAGATGTCGCCAAAAGGAATTTCTTTCTCCCATTTGCTGTCAGTTTTGGATTACTTAATGGAAGAGAAATTCTTCTCACCATTGGAGTCTTTATAATTGTTGCTTGTGATTGTGAGAACTTAGATGCTGAATAAGAATAAATCCTGGGGGGACTGATAATGCATGTGGAAAGGTAGTAATAGAAGCAGAAATTTCACCCATTAACCATTTGCAGATGAGAAAGCTATTTTGCTTATATATAACTATAGGGGTAGAAACTGCCATTATGGTTTTGCTAAAACAAATGTAATAATGTTACTAAACCTAATTTACAGAAAATCATAAAATTCCTAGTTCTGTAATGTTAAATAATTATTCTTTTACTTTAGACCTTAATTACTTTGCTTAGCATCCTAAGATTAAAATTTTTCTTATTGCCACTGTTAAAGCTGAAAGAGTGGGGGAAAAATGCAATTTTTAAGATCTAGCATAATTGATTTTATTGTCCATTTTGAGATGTCAAAACCTAATATCAGAATTCAATCCTGAAGCTGCAGGGAAACAATTATGAAAGATTTCTTTACAATGGGCTGAACAAGATTCTTAAGTACGTCTCATCTATTGAAGCGGTTTCGAAACTGTAAAACAGACTTTATCATTTCATTCAGAGATAAAATTCAGGAATCTTCAGCCATGTGGTTTCAATTTGATACATCTAGTTTGATATCTAACATTGTGTACCACAGGCTAAAAAAAAATCCTTTGAAAAATAATAAATCAAAGAGACATAAAATAAACTGGGAAAAACAGCACCTGCCCAGGTGGAAGGTCTACACCTCAGACCTTTAGAGGTTTGATTATATATATATATACTTATTATTATATAGATAATATATATATATATAATATATTATTTTATGTATATATATTTCAGAAACTTATAGAGGCCCAGTGGTGCAGTGGCTAGCGCATTGCACAGCAGCACCACAGGTTCGGGCCTTTCATCCCTTTATTTCCATCACTTGGGTTGATAAAATGAGTACCAAGTTCGCTTGGGGACTAAACACGGGGGGGGGTCCTGCGACAAGCTGACCACTTTTTCAGGGCATATGCTTATGCACCCCGGGGCCCACGGTCAAGAAAGCAAATTTCGGGCACTGCAGGCCTTGGCCCATTAGGGCTGTTACGCCACTGAGTTTAGTTTTAGTTTCAGAAACTTATGCTTTTGCTTATTATTTAAAAAAAGGAAAGGAAAAAGTAAAATAAGGAAAAGGTGCATAAAATTAATTAAATAGGTCATATTTCAAAAATCAACAATTGAAAAAAATTCATTGCATTAACTTCAGTAAACAAGGAATGTCAATTATTATTGAACACATGTTCTGCTTGCTAACGTGCTGTGCATGTGCAGCTCCCATCTGTAAAGTAGAACATCTGTCACCACATATATGTGGCATCTGCCTTCTGAAATGAGTTTACATTCACTGCATATGCATGGTAACCATTTGCAAAAGGTTAATTTCAGATTTTGAGGATGAAAGATTATAAAACTTCTAGGAGAGTGCCTTTTAAGATACTTCATTCGCAAACATGCATATATTGGTTCAAATCTCAGCCATTCAGCATAGTAACAGCTATATGAATTTGGCAGCTAGAACTACAGTCATTACTGAATTTTTCCCAATGTTAAAAATTTTAATCCTTTCCCTCAATAGAGTGACTTTATAAGATACCACACAATAACTAGTAGCAATGATTACCAATGCATTTTACTTTGCTTTATATTAAATAAATATCTTTTGACAGGGAGAATTTTCAGCAAAATTTTTTTTAGCCCAAAAGACAGCTCTGAAAGGCTATTAATTTCATTTTGGCATTTTGCGTTGAAAACTGAAATGTCGGTTCACTTTTCAAATTGTTGCCACCAAATATTAGACTCTGAATTATATTTAAAATTAAGTAATGAAGAATCTGCATAAACATATGTGTTTCTCGCATTTTGATGAACGGTACCTAGAGCCATCAAATTTTGAATAATGTACGTTTCCACCCGAATGGATGCCCAAATTTGGAATTTGTTTTATTATCTATTTCATATTTTGTAAAATTAAAAAAAAATTTATTAATAAACTCAACAATTCAAAGCGAACAATGGCAACACTGTGCCTTGGAGGGGAACATTTTTATCTTCAGTGCACAAGACTGTGTATCAGAAATTCTAAAGATATGCTCATTTAAAAATTATATTTTGCGATATTGCTGTTGAATTGAATTTTATGGTTTAAGTGCGAAAAACATGATATTTAGTAAATAAAGGTAACGCACAAAACGTTTAAAGAAAAACAACGTCCCTTTGGCATAATATAAAATCTGAATGTCCCCCCCTTTTTTAAATAGGTAGTCCTTGCTTATATGATTTCAAAGATTGAACAATGAAAATTTTAGTTGAAATAGGAAATAGCAAGCCAGAATTTTTTTTAACAAACCATGATTGCATATAGAAGTTAGTCATTTGCTTACAACTTAGTAATTGAACAATTAGGAGAAAAATGATGCAGATAACCCACTAAGTCTATGCAGTTGGTCTCCCCCCCCCAAAAAAAAAATTACAGGAAGTAAATTTATGATGAAGAAACACCTGTAAAGACCCGTTAACAAGAGCAGATTAGACCGAACCGGTTCTTCCAATGTGTCCCATTCACATGGCAAACAAGCATTAACTGCCTCGCTGAATTGGAGGTAGAACTTGGTTGAATGTTCCTACTTTTCTGGAGCAGGGCAAATGGGGAGATTTTCCATGATGCACTGCATGATTGTGCCGCTCACTAATTTTAACAAACAACATGGCTGACGTGCAACTGACTGCATCTCTGGACTGTCAGCGAAACAATCACATTGATGGATATCTGGGGATGCAATATCATCCAAAAAATTACCATAATTTCCGGAAGAAATGCCACGGCGTTTACGTGTTTAAAACTTAAATTTTCAGCGGGTGCGGCGTTTAGGTGCACTAAAAAAAAAAATATTTCCTATGATGGTCATTGTACATAGTTTGGATGGCCTTGTCATTGTGCATAGATTGGTGCTGTTCCCACACAAAAGACCACTCAGTTGCTTTTTGCGAACGTTATTTTGTTTACGTTCTTTCCCTTGAACGGACCTACATGCCTTATTCACCCTAAACAAGATCTCAGAACAATAACATTCTTCCCCCTTTCAAATCAACATTCTCATCAGTTTGAATAGTCTCTCTCCTCTGCCATTCGATGAATGTTCCAGGACCCATCCTCTTACCACCCCTGCCTTTTCTGCAATTTTTTTCAAAGGCGGACACTACTCTACCTGCCTCACAATAACGAACTCTGACGTATTTCCCCTTCAGCATGAATGGATTTTTCTTGGCATTCTGCCAAATACAGATCCCATCAGTTAGGGTACAAGTACTTGTTGGATAGTTTTTAATTAGGGAGCGGAAAATTTTTGAAAATGTCTCTAAACGGCACAGAAGCTATACATTTCTTGCCTTTAATTTTTTTCCCGCCATTTTTCTCGAGTGCGGCGTTTACGCTGATGCGGCCTTTCTTCCGGAAATTACGGTAGATGGAACTATACGAAATATGGAAATTTATAAACTAGTATAGACAAGGTTATATGATGCTGGGTATTCCAGAAATACTGTTCAAATTAAAACTAAAGATGCGCATATCGTCTTCAACGAAGCATGGGGACTCGGTACCTTTTGAATGTTTTTTTTTTTTTTTAATTTAAGAACTTTTATCTACTTTTTTTTTATATTATTAAATAGTTTTGTAAGACAAGATAATTTTAAGCTGAAAGAAAATTTTTAGTCCAAAGGGGCAGTTTGCCCTGAAGGAGTATTTATTTCGTTTTGACATTTTGCGTTGAAAACTAAACGGCGAATCACTTTTCAAATTGTTGCCACCAAATATTATTGCCCTGTATTATATTTAAATAAATTAAATAGTGAAGAGTCTGCATAAATGTATGTATGTTATTGTTGTGATAAAACAATGGTACCTAGAGACATCCAATTTTGAATAACGTGCGTTTCCACCCTAGTATGGGCATCTGGAAGCCCAAATTTGGAATTTGTTTTATTAACTAGTACATATTTTGTAAAAATTTCAGGAATTTTTTTATTAACAAACTCAACGATTTCAAAGCGAGCAATGGCAAAACTTCACGGGGGGAAAAAAACCTAAAAAAACTTCTTTAACTCCTGCGCACGAGACTCTGTATCAGATAAGAAGGTATGCTCATTTTAAAATTATTTTGTGATACTGCTTTTGAACTTAATTTTATGGTTTGAGTACATAGAACATGATATTTAATAAATAAACGTTAAAAAAAATGTTTGGACGTAATTTAAAATCTGAAAAAACCTTTCAAATTGTTTTTAATACATTTTTTTTGGCTAGTAATTTTTTTTTAATTTAAATGTTTTGAAGAAAAGTTTAACAATTATATCATTCTTCTCCCACAGTTTTTAATGTTTTTCCTAAATTTTCTTATTGTATTTATTAGAGAATTCTTAATAACTTTAATGATCGATTTTGCAATTAATGAATTA